CCAAAATAGCAATAAACAATTTATTAGCACACTGGGTAGATACTACTAGAGCACAGACTGAATAAGCAATCGATTCAGTGTGTTCTGGGCTTTTAAAAATTTTATTACTTTTTTTTATTTATTTATTTTTCAATTCTTTATTTTTGCAGTGCATATAGATAACGCAATGAGCATGTGGTACCCCGACGGCAATCCACATGCTTTTCAAGAACATTTGTAACAGTAGGGTACATGTTAAATCTTGCACTATTTTATATTAATCTGAGATTTAGCAAGATCAGTCCTGTTTCAATTTTATAATATATATTTGCAAGAACACTGGTGAGACATGAGAGCAGCATTGGTAAAGTAATTGTCAAGCATAGCATATGGCATATCCTCTTACTGATATGAGGTGGGTGCTCAATGTACTTATTCATGGTATAGTAAGGGATACAGTGAGCAGGAGCTGACTGGTTCGACCTGTCTAGGCTGGGACACATGTGTGCGGTGGGTCAGACAGGCTGGCCAAATGTGGGGATTTATGTACATGGTACTGTCGCTATAAAATAGATTAAGCCTTGCCGCCAGTACCTAAACACGCTTGCATGTTAATATGAAGTTGCTTGGGATCTAACCTGGAGTGTGTGATTGTTCAAAATTATATAAAAAAGTGACAACAGGTCAACAGTAATTAAAGATACTGAGAGTCCATGCAGAAGTCATCTCCCATGCTCGGTTGAAATTTTGGCTTCTGTCCTCAGAGTAGCTCGAAGTCAACCGACCCCCGATCTGCATAGCCGCTGAGGCTGCGTGTAAGTCTCCGTGCCCATATGTTGATAATAATATCTGGCTTACATTGTCCGAGGCTGGAGTGGAGCGTGGCATTGTAGTCCTCTGGACCCCGGAGTTGCCAGGTAAGTTTGCGTGTTCTTGTTCTGCATTTGTGCTTTATGTTCCTGGCGGTGTTTCATGTGGACGTTTGTCTTCTTGTACTGGGATAGAGTACGCCACTGTGTCCGCTGCCATTTTAGGGACCGGTTCTCAGTCGGGGCTTTTAAGTTCATTCTCCCTTGTTGAGGCTGCTTTTTAAGTAGATGGCTGCTTGGCACTTGCGAGGCAGGTGGGTGCGTTCTGCTTTCCAGTTTGCGCCAGAATAGCCTGCGTGGTCGACACGTGGTGGTAATGCCTCAGAGTGCTCTCAGCCCAGGTAGGGTGGTCACATAGCGAGTCCTCGCGTGTGGCTTCGGTTTCTCCCGTGGGAGTCTTCTCTGCCCCTTCTCATGCGGGTGAGGTGGATGGGCTGTAGTGCGATCCTGCAGTTTGCACCAAAAGGCTTGGAGGATGTCATCCAGCCGCTGCAGAATGTTTGGGATGGTGCTGTGCGGAATTTGTCCTGGTGGGTCTGGGCCCCCTGTGGTGGTTTGGCGTTCGTCTGCCATTTTGGAGTGTCGCAGTAGCTTGGGAGCGATCGGTATACAGTGAGGGATGGGTGTCGGTTTGATTTGCTTGGTGCCACGTACAAGCTGGGGTGGACCGGGATTACCCCCACCGGTCCTGAGGGGGGGGGGCAGGGCTGAATTGCAGGCTTGGGAGGGCACTAGGTCGCACAGAGCAGGGGATCGGCCGCCTTACCCATCTGGCGATACTGCTAGGCCTCGCTCCCAGCACCCTCGGCAGATGCTCCGTGCACCTGCGGGAGGCAGACCTGGGGCACCTCAGTTGGCTCCCGAGGTAGGTATGTCCTGGTTACAGGCTTTTGGGACGGTCCTGGCTGGCTGGTGTGCGGTTGATCAGGTTTGGTGAGTAGATTGAGCTCGGAGCTCATACGAGGCATGTCCAGCCGCCGTTCTGGGCTTTTTAAGTAATGGTTTGCATTAAGTAATATCTTCTGCCGGCCTTCCCATCCCACCGCCAACCCAAATGTCATTCTAGTTTGGTTGCCGTGGCAAATTGCTGCCAGGAAGCCAACCTGGGCACAGGACTTAGCGGCTCCCTTATGTGATCACTGAAACCCTATTTGCCATGACTTCTGAGCCATGGGAATCTACCACCTGGGGCTGGTGCACCCTGCTGAGGACCGGAGACCCCGGGAGGCACCAGTGACCACTTGCCTGTGCTCACCACATAGCTTTGCTCCCATGTCAGTAGGCTGTGTGAGAGCCAAACAAGTTAACTGAGGCCATGACACATAGCATGGTAACCTACTGGATTAAAACGATAGGAACACTATGGCCTGAAAGGGATGCACTTGATTAAAACCAATGCTCAGGTAAGCTGTTGCATTTATTTATTGATTTATTTATGAAATGACAACTTATTCCGCAGCGCTGTACAATTAAGGGAGAACATACAATATTCACAAACAAATACAAAAAGTAGAGAGAGCCCTGCCCGTAAGCCTAGATATAACCATTGAAGCACTTTTATACAAAGTGCCTAGTTAGATAGCCCATGAGCTTACAATCTAAATGATTTAAACAACACTCCTTTAGTATTAAGAGTCTTCATATGAACGTGGAAAACATTGTCCACACCATAACACCACATAACAGCTGGATCTCAAGCCAAAAAGGATCTATGGATTCATTTTTAAAAAAATAAAAAATTTATAACGACATGCCACGGCATAAAATGACATTCATCAGACCAGACAAATTTTTCCCAATCTTCTCCTGCTCAGTTTTTGTGTACGTGCGTCCACTGTAGTCTTGGTTTCCTGTTCTTTGCAGACAAGCAGAGCCTAGTGCAGTATTTTGTTGTTAAATGCCATCCTTTTAAAGGTTCATTGTGTTCTGTGTTCATATACTGTTACAACGGGTGGTTATTCCTGTAACAGAGGCCTTCCTGTCAGATTGAACCAGTCTGGCCATCTCCTCCGACCTCTCTCATTAACAAAGTATTTTCACCCACAGAACTGAGGCTCACTGGTTGTTTTTTTAATGTATTTTTTTTGTGTTTTTCACACCATTTTCTGTAAATTCAAGAGACTATGTGAAAATCCCATGAGACAAAAAGGTTCTGAGACTCTCAAACCACTATGTCCAGAACCAACAACTTTCCTCGGTCATATTTCTTCCCAATTGTGATGGTTTGTTTGAACAACTGAATCTCTTAACCATGGTTGCATGCTTTTATGCAGAGTTTCTACCACACGATTGGATCATTATATTTGCATTAACAAGCACGTGTATTTGTGTACTTAAAAAGTGATCACTGAGTGTCTGTGTGTAAAGAAATATATATATATAATGCTCAGGGAAGATACGCAGCTGAGTTTATTTTAGGAGATATATTTAAGCAAAACTTTTAAACCTCTTAGTAGTTACAATATTAAAAACACCCCTTGGTGTGCTTGAGGTTTGTCTGATGAACCAGCCACAAAACGTTATTTATGGCTGCCCACCTTTATGGTAACCAGCATGTATTTTCTGAGAATTTACACGATGACGGGCTTTTATTATTGCACACAAACTATATATATATATTTTTTTACTTAACAGATAGATCTGACATATAGGCTGCAGTCATTAACTAGTAGTCTCGTTTCTATTTCTGAAACAGAAAGATGTTCCACGACTCTCTACATTAAGGAACAATGCACAATGCAAAACAGAAAAAAGTCCCTGACTGCTATACTTCTGTGAAAGTATGAAATGGGGACATGCAGAGGTGTCAGTACCAGCACTACTGTAACAATAGATGTTTACAAACGGTGTAAAGGCACCGACTGCCAAAGACACCAAATATCAGACCACTGGCAGCGCAGTTCTGCTTGTGAAAACACGTATACATTAGGATCTTGTGGCTGGCTGTGATCTGTGCTCTTGGCAGCAATGATTCCATTTTTCTGTTGGCACACATGCTGGGTATGATGTCTCAACTTTGCATCAGAGCATAATGAGTAAAACCGAACAGAGAAAGGATAACTATATATATCAGAGTTAAAACAATATATATATATATATATGTGTATAGGCCAGAGATTACTAGAGTGTGAACAAGCTCCTTAAAGACAAATGGCAGGCTATGTCACCACAACAATTCCCAGATTTTACTATTAACATGACGTAAAGTCATGATTTTATTAAAGACACGGAGGCGAGTATTATGCATAACTCTTTCTTTATTTCCTCAGCAGCAAAGATAGAGGAATATAAATATTGTCAAAAATGAAAGAAAAAACTGTATAGATACACAGGCAACCAATCACATAACAGAGGAAGTGACTATAAAAGGCCTGTGTCTCCCACAATCCCCCTCTTTCTTGCGGAAACCGAAGACCAGGTAAGAAGAATGAAATCCAACTTGTCCATAACAGGAAGAAGGCAACGAATCGAAAACTTCAAGCTAAAAGAGAGAGAGAAATATGGTAATACCCAGACTCCAAACTGTAGACTTACCAAAAACAAACTGTTGGTTACTCAACGACAGATAATATAGGGATCAAAGCAAATATTAGCAGTTCCATGATAAACCGGAATCTGAAAAACATAAAAGAAATAATTAGTTGATGTGATATAACAAGTGAGTCACATATCCAGAGCGACATCAGAAAAACATACCGGCATGAAAAAAACGTACCTGAAGAGCTCAAGAGCATCTCATTCCTATACCCTCACGGGAGGGTGGGAGGGAATAATACTCGCCTCCGTGTCTTTAATAAAATCATGACTTTACGTCATGTTAATAGTAAAATCTGGGAATTTTATTAAAGACACGGAGGCTCATATTATGCAAGTTTAACCCCTTAAGGACACATGACGTGTGTGACATGTCATGATTCCCTTTTATTCCAGAAGTTTGGTCCTTAAGGGGTTAAAGCTGTGCGATCACCTGAGATGCGATATGCTCAATAGGTTTGAAATAGAAGTCACGGAAGGTCGATTCTCTAGACCAGTCCGCAGCCCGCATGATGTCCTCTAGTCGACAGCTGACCGTGGATGCCTTTGAAGCCATAGCACCCCGAACAGAGTGAGGCGTAAAGACCGAAGTGTCTATACCCGCTGAGGATAAAAGCCAGCGTACCCATCGTGCCAGAGTCAGAGACGAAACAGGCCTATGAGGTGTCCTAAAAGACACGAATAGAGGATGCAAGTCCAAGGAACGAAAAGATCGAGTAGCATCCAGATAAGTCCTCAGGCATTCAACCGGACACAATGCTGGAGAGCCCGGGAACCTAGGATACGTGAACGACTTGGATGCCGACTTTGTCCTCCTGGATATGTTGAAAGTAACACCCTCCGGGGTGAATACAATGGCGTCCCAGTCAAGGGCCCTAACATCAGACACCCTCTTACACGAAACCAAACAGAGTAGCATCACTAGTTTGGAGGATAATTGTTTGAGACTCAGTTCGTGGTTAGGATACCAAGATGAGAGGAATCGTAACATGACGTTGACGTCCCAGAAGGCAGAGAAACGAGGTCTAGGAGGGCGAGCGAGGCGGATGCCTTTGAGAAGGCGACAAACAAAAGGATGTCTGCCGACTGGTGAGCCATCCAAACCACTATGCCCGGCCGAAATCGCCGAGCGGTAGAGGTTGACAGTGCGGTACGCCTTGCCCGTCTCAAACAGTGTCGTGAGAAACTCTAGGATCAGATGGAGAGGGGCAGATACGGGATCCACAGACCGTTCCATGCACCAATCAGACCACGAATTCCATGAAGCACGGTAGGCTGATCTCGTACCGGGGGCCCAGGCGTTATCGAGGAGCAGGAGAGTTGATCGCGGAACATTTGGGACAGCCCAGGTTCCCCTGAAAGGAGCCACGCCACAAGAGGCAATTGTCGTCGAAGCACCAGATCGTGAGAGTTCCCGTCCGGATCCAGAAGGAGGTCCTGGAAGCACGGGATCAACCGGGGGTAGTCTATTGACAACTCCAACAGACGTGGGAACCATGGTCTGGATCTCCACAGAGGGGTGATCAAAGCCAGGCGGCACTCGTGGCGAGTCAACTTCGATATCGTGCGGGCGATCATGTTGAACGGGGGAAAGGCATAAAGGCAGCCCGGTGGCCATTCCTGGAGAAAGGCGTCCGTCGCGACCGCTGCCGGGTCTGGCCTCCAGCTGTAAAATTCCGGTAGTTGAGTGTTCAGACGGGACGCGAACAGATCCATCCTGAACCGCCCCCATAGTCTGTCCAGGCCTTGGAATACCGAAACGTGCAAGTGCCAGTCTCCCGAGTCTCTCAAATGTCTGGAATTCCAATCCGCGTCCGAATTGTCCAGCACCGGAATGTGTTCCGCTGTCACGGACACATTGTTGGAAAGGCAAAATTGCCAAAAATCTTTCGCTAGCAGGGCCAACATCCTGGACTTGGTGCCCCCAAGGTGGTTTATATAGCGTACGGCCGACACGTTGTCCATCTTGAGAAGAACGCAGCAGTTCGCCCGTCCTGGGGTAAGGCTGCGAATCGCGAATGCCTCTGCCAGGAGCTCGAGGCAATTGATGTGCAGGGATCTCTCCGTCTCGGACCATCTGCCTCCTGTGGAAACGTTGCCACAACGAGCCCCCCAGCCGTGTAAGCTGGCATCCGACTCTATCACCACGTCCGGGATGGAACCGAAGATGGCCCTCCCGTTCCAGGCTTCCATGTGGGCTAACCACCATACCAGTTCGTCTCTGGACTCCACGTCTAGCCGTACCCGGGATTCGTAGGAATGACCCGATCGGAGGTGAGAACCCTTGAGCCTTTGGAGAGCACGGTAATGGAGTGGGCCCGGGAATATCGCCTGAATGGAGGCCGCAAGGAGGCCAATAATGCGTGCCAATTGCCTGATGGACAGATCCTGTACACGCAGGGCCCTTCGAAGCTCCTTTCGGATGGCTCTGATCTTTGAATCCGGCAGGTATAGGAATTGGCGGATGGAATCCACCTGGAAACCTAGGAACTCCATCGACTGTGACGGGTCCAGGATCGATTTGTCCCAGTTGATCAAGAAACCCAGGTTTTGAAGTAGATCGATCGTCCATCCCAAATGTATGAGAAGATGGTCTCTGGACTGGGACATGATTAAGATGTCGTCCAGGTAAATGATCAAACGCACCCCACGGGTACGGAGGAACTCCATTGCAGGCTTCATGATCTTGGTGAAGCACCATGGCGCTGAGGAAAGGCCGGAAGGCAGGCAGGTAAAGCACCAGTGTCTCCCATGCCAGGTGAAGTGTAGGTAATCCCTGTACTCCATCGCTATCGGGACCGTGAAATACGCGTCCTTCAGATCCAACTTGGCCAGCCAGTCCGACCGTCGGAGGAGGTCTCTGAGGCAGTGTATACCCTCCATCTGAAAATGTTGGTACCGGAGGAATGGACTCCGCCCCCTTTCTTGGGGACCAGGAAGAGATTGCTCGTAAAGCCCTGAGCGGCGAACGGCAACTCTTCTATAGCGCCTTTCAACAGCATCTCCTCGACTTCCGCTGAGATCATCGCGTCTTGGTCTAGCGGGAGAGACAATTCCCTGGGGACATGAAATTGGACAGGCAGAGAAACAAACTCCAGGCGATAGCCCTTCACACACTGTAGAACCCAAGTGTCTGAAGTAATACTTGCCCACTCTTGGTGGAACAGAGCCAGCCTGCCCGCTACCCGCACCCGAGTAATAGGGGAAGAAGGGGTACTTACCATAAGGGCGTCTTCCCGAAGCGGCACCGCGGGGGTATCTGGCTGGGAAGAAAGGAGGCGTCCTCGGATCCTGGAATCCCCGGGACGGAAAGAAGGAACCTCTTTGGGCACGTGAGGAGCCTCGGAAACCAGGGCCGGGTGGACGGTTTCTGCTACGCCCGGCCCCTCCGAAAACCTTGGGTGCGAACATGCGCTTCATGTTTGCCTGCGCCTTGTCAATGGCCGTAAAGGTCTTAACATACGACCCCAAGTCCTTAACGAAGGAAGCACCGAACAACATCCCCTCCTCGGAAGGGCCAGGTTCCGCCACAGTCATGGCAGCCAATTTCGGGTCAAGCTTGAGGAGTATTGCCTTACGCCTCTCTGAAGACATGGCAGTGTTCGCATTCCCCAAAAGACAGATAGCCCTCTGGACCCATCCTATGGCAACATCAACATCCAGCATGGAAGTGCCTGCCCGAGCGCCGTCCAGGAGCTCGTATAATTTGGATAAAGGGCCCAGGGTGTCCAAGGGCTTGTCCTGGCATCCCTTGAGCGAATAGTCCAACCCCTTCTTGGGCTTCCAGCCTGACTTGTTCATGAATTGAGCAATCTGGGGGTCGATGTCAGGGGTTTTGCAGGCTGCACCGGGCAGAGAGGGTCTGGGGCATTCTGCCCGCAACTTATTGCGACCCTCCTTGGAAAGGGGGGTGTGCATGCGCCGTGCCACATATTGAGCAATATGGTCCGGGGGAACCCACTCTGCGGACCTAGGGTGACGAAGATCGTCGGGGTCGAATAAGGAGTTGCCCTGAGGGTCAACCAGTGCCTTGGTATCCCCAGTGGGGTTTATCAATTGACTACGGGCAGCGGCGGGTGTCCCAGAAGCGGTAAGTCCTCACCCGACTCACCCTCATCAAAGGAGTCATACTCCAGAACGTCTGACTCATCCTCCACACTCCGGTCGGAATCCGACCCATCATCCAGGGCTTTAGCCCGTTTCCACAACCTAGCCTTTTTAGCCCGGCCAGGGGCTCTTTTGCGCGTGGGAGGCGCGCTGTCTGTGACCGCCTCTAGCGTGTCAATCATGGCAGGTAGAACCTGCATCGAGGAGTGGGAGTCGACGTGTTTAGATTTCTCCTTAGCCTTACGGGCCCCCGGCACAGTCGGGGTAGGAGAGGGTAGTCCCATACCCAGGAGGGCGGGAGTCGCCATGGAAGGCAGCAGGAGAGAATGCAGGGATTGGGAAAAGGAGGAGGATACAGCACCCATGGCTGAAGCAAAAGCCTTCTGCAAGGAAGAGGCCATAGTGGCATCCAGCAGGGCTTGGAACTCCTGGGAAGCAGTAGCCCCCACAGGATTATCTGGGTTGAAATCAGTGGTGAGGCCCTCAGGCCCATCCTCCCTCTCCTGCATAGTGGCAGTAATGTACAAGGGGAAGAACCCAACAGAAATAGCCTATAAACTAAAACAGTTGATAAAGGGTTGATTAACCCACAGAGAGAAACAATATATATAAGAAAACCTGAGCACTGGTGCACCCCAGGGACCCAGGAGCAAGGCAGAGCGCACGGCAGCAGAAAGGAGCGACCGGGAGGAAGGACCGCCCACAAGATGGCCGCCGCACGTGTAGAGAGCGCTCGCGGCCTGCAACCCGGCGGGGGAAGGGGCGCGCGCCCCTCCCCGCGCGGGCAGCCCGCGAGCGAGCCGGGAAAAAACACTGACAGCCGCGGCAGTATCAGAGAGAGCCGCGGCTGAAAGCAGACCTGGGACTGAAGCACCCGCCGGCCGACAGAGCGGTCGTGGCGGGCGGGGGGTGGGGGGAGGCACCAGCGCAGGGGACAGGACAGGAGCTGCACCAAGCAGGCAGCTTACAGAAGGAAAACAGAGTAGGATATCACACAATCAGAAAAGAAGTGTGAATAAACACAGATTATGCAAAAAACCATACAACTATAATAAAAGAGCTATATCAGTACAGCATAACACCATGTAAATACAAAGTACAGCAAATAAAATACAATGGATCAAGCAAGGTACTTAGCTGTCTGAGGAAGCAGCAAAGAAAGAGGAGGATTGTGGGAGACACAGGCCTTTTATAGTCACTTCCTCTGTTATGTGATTGGTTGCCTGTGTATCTATACAGTTTTTTCTTTCATTTTTGACAATATTTATATTCCTCTATCTTTGCTGCTGAGGAAATAAAGAAAGAGTTATGCATAATATGAGCCTCCGTGTCTTTAATAAAATCTGTTCTATAAGAATCTTATTGCCCTGTGCAATTTATACAGGAGGACATAACAATTTGGATATAATTTAACCACTGAAAAATTGTTCGATGTTTAAATGGTAATTATAGTAGTTAAATGTCCTATGCTTAATGAAAATAATATTAACTGTTTGGAACATTATTTTAAAATAGCTAATAAAATGCAAGCCTCATACCTTAATGCAGAGAGTTCAATATTCGGATTCCCCCTTACCCTTTTATGTCATTTCTGTCCTTCCTTACTCCCTTGTGGGACTCGCCTAGCCACGCAAGGAGGGTTTCCTTGCGTGTCTCTTGTGAAACCCCCTTACTGCTTTGTGTGCCTTCCCAACTCACTTACCCCTTCATGTGATTCTCCTAATCTCCCTTATACCTTTGGGTGCCTCTCACAGCTACCACCTTGTCTCCTTTAATCCCCTTTACTCTCTAGTTTGTCCTTCCTATTCCCATTACCACTTTGTGTGTCTCTGCTAATCCCCCTTACCACCTTTTGTATTTCTGCTAATCCCACCTGCCACCTTGTGTGTCTCTACTAGTCCCCCTTATACCTTTGTGTGCCTCTCACAGCCACCACAAAGTGTGTCTCTCATACTTCCCATTACTCTCTAGTGTGTATCTCCTAACCCCATAACCAGTATGTATACCTCTGCTAACCCCCATGATCAATATGCGTGTCGCTACTTACCCCCTAATTTTCTCTTACCCTACCTACAAATATTTAGACTTGTGCAAAAATCGGTTTTGCACTGTTAATCCGACTCAAATTCCATTTAATCTACACCTAGATAAATCATTTATCTGGGATGTACCTGTGGAATCCTTTTCAAACTCAATTTTATTAAAGACTCCACAGGTAAATCCTATAGGACTCAAGGAATTTGATTTGGAATAACCGTCTGAAATTTTTTTTTTTGCCCAAGTCTACCAATATGGTTGTGGGAGTGTGTGAATCTGGATGTTCCTCTGTCCAGTCTGTCATTGGTAAATCAAAAAATGGTCCATCACACCACTGTAAATTAAATCTCAATAAATTAAATCAATTTATTGAGGTCCCACAGAGAACAGGCAATGTTGCAAGCTTCTTAGAGGTCTTTGTCAAGCAGTCTGTCCTTGGATCTCCAAACAGGTTGCATTGAGCTTCCAGAGAAGTGGGATGTGACGGAGATCTCGGAGATCGAATGACAGACTGGGCAATGTCATAGTCCCATTCATCTACAACGAGTGACCCAGGGCGGACTCCCTATAAGTAGAATGCAGAATCTGCCACCACATTTAACTGCGTTTATTTAGCAATAATGCATAACAAGTCCTGTGCTAAGCCACTCCCATCACTCACAGCCCTATCATGCTAACCAAATTTGGATGGAGAGTGAAGTGAGTGAAAACTAACTGAAATATCGGCATTTAAAATGGTTTTACAAGAAAAATCAGAGGGACTGCACCTAATGACTCATTATAATAAGCTGTAGTGTTTATGATACTTAGCGTGTCCCTATTAAAATAACTCTCTTGAGAAGGGCTGTGCTTCTGGACTTCAAGTTAAACTCCAATCTCCTTCCAATATTCATCCCCCCACTTCCTCTTCAAAAAAAGGGAAGTGGTAATATGACAAAGCACAAATATGTACTGAGTGTTAGGTCTATTCATAGCACAAATATGTAGTGAGTGTAGATCCTGCTTTTAAAATCTCAGGAACTCTTCAAACACAGCAACGTTAGGAGCTAAAACCTTGAAAATTATGTAGCTAGAAGTTGGACGGGTTTCTTCGAACAGATTGGAGAAATTCTAAAACAAGACTCACAAATGGCTACAGTCTCAAGCAGAAAATGTTATTAAACCCTGCAACTTTTCACAGATTTAAACTGTCTGAGAATCCTGCAGTTCTTAATTACCAAGTTCATTTTAGGGAACGCTTGAGATAATTAGTGGATTGGGATCATACATTTAGAAAGCACTGTGCCAAAAATAAATAAGTCTATAGTTAGTTGGAGACAATTATCCACCTGTACATCTTTTACAGGAAGTTCTCGAGCGATGTATCACGCACATTCCTGCGTGGAATGTTCCATGTAACCTTTGGCCTCACATGTATTGGATGAGATCTTCCCCTCAAACCAACCATGAATTCCCCAAATAACGACAGACACTAAAACTTGGATATAACAGGCCACAGCATTTATTAAAACATCCAAAAACTGTATAACGCATCCAAACGGATAAAACTGGACATAATAAAACGATGATAAATTAACATTTCAATAACGTTGCATAATGTCATACAGTATGCCCCCTTAATGTAATCAAATGTCCTTGCTAATTTAACTCACCCCTTCCCAAAGGCTCTCACCTCCCCCCTCAGCATAATAAATTCCTCTTTCCTTTTGTGCTCCCCACCAGCGGCTTTTAGCTCGGTGGGGACCCAACCATAATGCTCCCCACCAGTCAACTTTTAGCTCGGTGGGGACCCGACCATAATGCTCCCCACCAGTCGACTTTTAGCTCAGTGGGGACATGTCCAACCTGGTACCACTTAAGGTTCCATCATAAGAGACAGGGAAGACCTGGCCATTATCCCCTTACTCCTCTACCTGCAAACCATCTCCCATCCTATTTGGCAAGGACATGCCCCCCACCTCACTGTGACAACACCCCGGGCCTAAAGCACAAAGTGAGGGTGGGCGGGAAATGTAATTCCTACACTTCTTCCCTGTAGAGGTGTAGACAGACAACATGATTTACGTCATATTTCTTCTAATGAGTACAGAACTGCTGCCAGGATTTATTAACTTTTAAATTTATGCTATAGAAAATACATTAACCTCATCATCCCCAACAGTTATTTTGATTCATAGAAATTAGAATACCGTTTATTTTAAACATGGGATGCAGACCTAACCCATAAACGTAGGACAAAACAATTATTTTATTAAAGACATGGAGGCTCCTATTATGCTGCACTCTTTCTTTAATTCCCTCAGCAGCAAAGAAATAACAAATGCAAATCAATAATAAACAGAGGTATAAACATCACAATGACAACATCCGCCTAGTGACATGAACATCCAATCAGCGACATCCTTATCCTATCGTAGGCGGAACATAGGTGACCACTTCCTCTTTCTTTGCTGCTCCCTCAGTTAAGTACAACCTGTCTCACGATTTCCTAACTGTGAGATATTTATTTTTATTTATTTTTATGATTGTAGTGATTTGTCATATTAGTAATTGTGATTGGAGTCTTTAGTACTGATCCTTTTATTACTGTTAGTTTTATGTATTATAATTTATTTGTCTTTTTGTTGATATTTGGTTTTTTTCTACCTTAATATTATTAGGCAGACCCTCTGGAGGTTGCCCCATGTCCCCAATGCGCTCCCGCGCTAATGCTCAGTTGTTTGCCCCTTGCTATGAATGCTACAGAGTGCTTGCTCCGGTGGTCGGTAATTCTCCTTATTCCCTGTTCGCGTGCGTTCGGCTCCCGAACGCACGCTTCAACAGCTGTTAACCCAACCGTCCTTTTGGAGTCTAATACCCCACATGACGACCATTTTTCCAGCTCTTTTTTTCTTTGGACCACCCACTTCGCTCCAATAACGGAGTGGGTGTCCAGTCTTAGTTAGTGGTTGGACGATTTTCTGTTTTGCTCCAGCAGTTCTCTGTATTATTTAGAGCATTTATGAGTAAAAATTATTTTCTCTCATTTCCACTCCTGAGGGTTACTTATCCCTGGGGGTTTCATTCAGTCAGTTTCAGTAATTATTACTCGTATTAATATTATTATTACTATTATTTATTGTTATTACTGGTAATTATTTCTAATAATTATTATTATTATTAATTTTTATTATTAGTTACTTCTTAGATTGTATCCTAATCTATATCGCTATGCAGTCTTCTAGAGATGTTCCTACACCCTCTGGGTCACAAACTGAACCCCAAGTTCCCTTGGGACTCCCCATTATAATTTCTGGGGATGAAGCCGAATTCTCAGTTTATGAGGAAATTCAGGCGATCATAGACACTACAGTGTCTAAGTCCATGTCCAAGGCCCTGGCATCTGCCATGGACATTATGTCATCATCTATTTCGAAGTCCTTTATGCAGGCCTTGTTACAGGCACAATTGTCGGTTCCTCTGGCCTCCTTGTTGGCCGTGATACCTCCTACCTCTCAACCCCCACTCCTTGGCCACAAGGCCTCGGCTTAAACCAAGCACTCCTCCAAAATGATAATGATGGCCAGTTTAAAACCTGTTGTAGAGGGTGCGATTATGTAACCACCGCGCAAGAAAGCCACTAGCGGGGCAAAAGCAGCTAGACAATGGAAATGGGCTAAAACCCAGAGTGAGTCGGAGCTCAGTGAAAATGAGGAGAGTGCGCTAGAGTCCGAGTCGGACCATTCCGATGATTTATCCGACCTTGATTCGGAGTATAAATTTGAGGAGGATAAAACCACCCCTCAATGCATGAATGCCACTGAGTTATCTCATCCAGCAATATCCAAGGAGGGTAAGATACTCAGTCCACAGGGCGAACCATTGTTTGACCCTGATGACTTAAGCCAACCCTGCTCGGCCAACTGGTCGCCAGCCGAACATGTGGCACGTTATATTGCTGCCCGGGTCCGCAAGCCTCTTGATAAGGTGACCCGTAGTAAATTGCAGGTGGAATGCCTACATCCTACTGTACCGAACGATGTATGCAAGACACCCCATGTCAACCCCAAGATTATTCAATTCTTGGGCAAGACAGGGTGGAAACCCAAAAAGGTTTTGTATTTTTCCCTGTGCAACTGCCAAGACAAAGTTTTAGATATTTTGGGTCCAGCGACCAAGACCTCGGAGCTGTAGAAGAATCTTTGGCTCGGGACAATGTTTTCGATCGCCTCACCATTAGGGGTTGGATAGAGAGGTTGATCTGCTTGATTGGCAATGCAAACACTGCGTTATTACAAGTTATTCTTTCATAATGGTTGATTTATTACCTGCTAGTTAACTTAGTTTTAGCTTATGATCATACTGAGAATGCAGACCACCAGTCTCTTTATACTCCCTTATATTTTACACATTTTTAATCTCTATTAATAAAAATGGGTTTGACCCCTCAGTTAGTGACATCACCTGCCTCAATGTCTGCTTCTGATTGCATTTTCTTTCTTCAACTGGACTTGTTCCTCTATGGAGTGTTGTGACTTAATGCATTTGAGGCGCCTTTTTTTTTTTATTTTTGCAAATGTCACTATTGTACTGTCTATTCCTGTTATTCTTATGCTTCAATAAAAACAGATTCACAAAAAAAAGATTCCTTCATACATTAAATAAATATTGTAGGGGTAGAGGTTTTACATAGTCTATGTATCCCTTATCTCGTAATATTTTATAGAGGTATAAAATATTAGCACAGACACAAAAATTCATTTTTTGTCACATACAGTGGGCGTTGAGAAAAAAAATGATAAAAATAAATAGACATGGTGAATTTGTCCTATTCGTGGGTACTTGTAGTGAACTTAATGCTATTGGTCTTAATGCAGCTCCCTAAAAGTACTTGAATGTGAACATTATGCTTTATGTAGGCAAAATGCCAAGATACAGTAGACACAGTTACACCAAGCATTTGTACTATATAGGAATTTCCATGACAGAGAGAGGTCCTGCCAATTTATGTGTTTCTAAACTGGGTAAAAATCAGAAGTGGGATGGAATGGAAGATAATCGGGGCATTTATAGGATAACCATGATTTCTCATTTCTTTACAATCTAAAATAAATGTTGCCACATTTATGTGAAGTTTAGGGAGTGAATGAACTCTGAATATATTAACATTTGAATGCTTCCCTTTGGCAGTAAATCCGTATCCTCTGATCATCTCCAAGTGCTCTATACAGTGGATTTTATAGTGGGTAAATGCTATGTGAGCTTATGGACCTAATTACGTAAAACATGTGTGAACTGCAACTACAGACATGTCTGCAGGAGTTTATTTTTTCCAAAAATGTTTATTAGGTATTATAAGGGTATGCAATAGGGATAACTTGTACAATAAGTAACATATTCTGTACTAATACATGTGAAAAGATACAATAACAAGGTACGACAAAAAAGAATGAACAAACGAAAGTGTTGGAAAAGTCAAGAGTAAAGGTTGGTTAGTTAGAGGCCTTAAAGGACCACTATAGGCACCCAGACCACTTCAGCTTAATGAAGTGGTCTGGGTGCCAGGTCCACCTAGGGTTAACCCTGCAGCTGTAAACATAGCAGTTTCAGAGAGGCACTTCAGCTGTGATTTTAACAGTGAGAAGACGCCAGCGTCCATAGGAAAGCATTGAGAATGCTTTCCTATGGACTGACTGCGCGCGTGGCTCTTGCCACGCATGCGCATTCAGCCAATGACGTCGGAGGAGTCCCCCCAGGGTAATAAGGGACTGAGGAGCCAGGTTACTGTAATAAGGCACTCAGGAGCCGGATTGCTGTAATAAGACGTTACAGGGTAATAAGGCACTCAGGAGCCGGGTTACTGTAATAAGATGTTACGGTGTAATAAAGCACTCACGAGCCGGGTTGCTGTAATAAGATGTTACAGGGTAATAAGGGACTGAGGAGCCAGGTTACTGTAATAAGATGTTACAGGGTAATAAGGCACTCAGGAGCCGGATTGCTCTAATAAGACGTTACAGGTTAATAAGGCACTCAGGAGCCGGGTTACTGTAATAAGATGTTACGGGGTAATAAGGCACTCAGGAGCTGGGTTACTGTAATAAGATGTTTCAGGGTAATAAGGCACTCAGGAGCCGGGTTACTGTAATAAGATGTTACAGGGTAATAAGGCACTCAGGAGCTGTGTTACTGTAATAAGATGTTACAGGGTAATAAGGCACTCAGGAGCCGGGTTACTGTAATAAGATGTTACAGGGTAATAAGGCACTCAGGAGCCGGGTTACTGTAATAAGATGTTACAGGGTAATAAGGCACTTGGGAGCCGGGTTACTGTAATGAGATGTTACAGGGTAATAAGGCACTCAGGAGTCGGGTTTTTGTATTTAATTGTTGCAGGTGGATTAAGGCACATCTGCTATTTTACTGAATTACTCTGTTTGAAAGCTGTTCCCATTATGCGTGTCACACATTGAGTGTATGGTGTTATCTGGCACACAGCTCCCACCCACAGGCTTTCAGCTGATTACGGAGATAAATGACGTCACTATTTTCATGGAGAAGCCAGAGCTAGCACTGCACCCACAGCTAACGAGGCGGTGGTGTAACACTGTGAAGAGTACGTGAGAGCTATAATGAGCATCAGAGAGAGCTTTAAGATCACAGTGTTCTTTGTGGTAATTAGACATATTACCATCAATAACAATATAATTTACTAGTGCTTAACAGTGTTTTCACTGTATAATAATGCACTCAGGAGCCGGGTTACTGTAATAAGATATTACGGGGTAATAAGGCACTCAGGAGCCGGGTTACTGTAATAAGATGTTACAGGGTAATAAGGCACTCAGGAGCCGGGTTACTGTAATAAGGTGTTACAGGGTAATAAGGCACTCAGGAGCCGGGTTACTGTAATAAGATGTTACAGGGTAATAAGGCACTCAGGAGCCGGGTTACTGTAATAAGATGTTACAGGGTAATAAGGCACTCAGGAGTTACCGGGTTACTGTAATAAGATGTTACAGGGTAATAAGGCACTCAGGAGCCGGGTTACTGTAATAAGATGTTACAGGGTAATAAGGCACTCAGGAGCCGGGTTACTGTAATAAGATGTTACGGGGTAATAAGGCACTCAGGAGCCGGGTTACTGTAATAAGATGTTACAGGGTAATAAGGCACTCAGGAGCCGGGTTACTGTAATAAAATGTTACAGGGTAATAAGGCACTCAGGAGCTGGGTTACTGTAATAAGATGTTACAGGGTAATAAGGCACTCAGGAGCCGGGCTACTGTAATAAGATGTTACAGGGTAATAAGGCATTCAGGAGCCGGGTTACTGTAATAAGATGTTACAGGGTAATAAGGCACTCAGGAGCCGGTTACTGTAATAAGATGTTACAGGGTAATAAGGCACTCAGGAGCTGGGTTACTGTAATAAGATGTTATGGTGTAATAAAGCACTCACGAGCCGGGTTGCTGTAATAAGATGTTACAGGGTAATAAGGGACTGAGGAGCCAGGTTACTGTAATAAGGCACTCAGGAGCCGGATTGCTCTAATAAGACTTTACAGGTTAATAAGGCACTCAGGAGCCGGGTTACTGTAATAAGATGTTACAGGGTAATAAGGCACTCAGGAGCCGGGTTACTGTAATAAGACTTTACAGGTTAATAAGGCACTCAGGAGCCGGGTTACTCTAATAAGATGTTACGGGGTAATAAGGCACTCAGGAGCCGGGTTACTGTAATAAGATGTTACAGGGTAATAAGGCACTCAGGAGCCGGGTTACTGTAATAAGATGTTACAGGGTTATAAGGCACTCAGGAGCCGGGTTACTTTAATAAGATGTTACAGGGTAATAAGGCACTCAGGGGCCGGGTTACTGTAATAAGATGTTACAGGGTAATAAGGCACTCAGGAGCCGGGTTACTGTAATAAGATGTTACAGGGTAATAAGGCACTCAGGAGCCAGGTAACTGTAATAAGATGTTACAGCGTAAGAAGGCACTCAGGAGCCGGGTTACTGTAATAAGATGTTACGGGGTAATAAGGCGCTCAGGAGCCGAGTTACTGTAATAAGATGTTACAGGGTAATAAGGCACTCAGGAGCCGGGTTACTGTAATAAGATGTTACAGGGTAATAAGGCATTCAGGAGCCGGGTTACTGTAATAAGATGTCACAGGGGTAATAAGGCACTCAGGAGCCGAGTTACTGTAATAAGATGTTACGGGTTAATAAGGCACTCAGGAGCCAGGTTACTGTAATAAGATGATACGGGTTAATAAGGCACTCAGGAGCCGGGTTACTGTAATAAGATGTTACAGAGTAATAAGGCACTCAGGAGATGGGTTACTGTAATAAGATATTACAGGGTATTAAGGCGCTCAGGAGCCGGGTTACTGTAATAAGATGTTGCAGGGTAATAAGGCACTCAGGAGCTGGGTTACTGTAATAAGATGTTACAGCGTAAGAAGGCACTCAGGAGCCGGGTTACTGTAATAAGATGTTACGGGGTAATAAGGCGCTCAGGAGCCGAGTTACTGTAATAAGATGCTACAGGGTAATAAGGCATTCAGGAGCCGGGTTACTGTAATAAGATGTCACAGGGGTAATAAGGCACTCAGGAGCCGAGTTACTGTAATAAGATGTTACAGGGTATTAAGGCACTCAGGGGCCGGGTTACTGTAATAAGATGTTACGGGTTAATAAGGCACTCAGGAGCCAGGTTACTGTAATAAGATGTTACGGGTTAATAAGGCACTCAGGAGCCGGGTTACTGTAATAAGATGTTACAGAGTAATAAGGCACTCAGGAGATGGGTTACTGTAATAAGATATTACAGGGTATTAAGGCGCTCAGGAGCCGGGTTACTGTAATAAGATGTTGCAGGGTAATAAGGCACTCAGGAGCTGGGTTACTGTAATTAGAAGTTACAGGGTAATAAGGCACTCAGGAGCTGTGTTACTGTAATAAGATGTTACAGGATAATAAGGCACTCAGGAGCCGGGTTACTGTAATAAGATGTTACAGGGTAATAAGGCACTCAGGAGCCGGGTTACTGTAATAAGATGTTACAGGGTAATAAGGCAGTCAGGAGCCGGGTTACTGTAATATGATGTTACAGGGTAATAAGGCACTCAGGAGCCGGTTACTGTAATAAGATGTTACAGGGTAATAAGGCACTCAGGAGCCTGGTTACTGTAATAAGATGTTACAGGATAATAAGGTACTCAGGAGCCGGGTTACTGTAATAAGATGTTACGGGGTAATAGGGCACTCAGGAGCTGTGTTACTGTAATAAGATATTACAGGATAATAAGGCACTCAGGAGCCGGGTTACTGTAATAAGATGTTACGGGGTAATAAGGCACTCAGGAGCCAGGTTACTGTAATAAGATGTTACAGGTAATAAGGCACTCAGGAGCCGGGTTACTCTAATAAGATGTTACAGGGTAATAAAGCCCAGGAGCCGGGTTACTGTAATAAGATGTTACAGGGTAATAAGGCGCTCAGGAGCCGGCTACTGTAATAAGATGTTACAGGGTAATAAGACACTCAGGAGCCGGTTACGGTAATAAGATGTTAATGGGTTATAAGGCATTCAGGAGCCGAGTTACTGTAATAAGATGTTACAGGGTAATAAGGCACTCAGGAGCTGTGTTACTGTAATAAGATATTACAGGATAATAAGGCACTCAGGAGCCGGGTTACTGTAATAAGATGTTACGGGGTAATAAGGCACTCAGGAGCTGTGTTACTGTAATAAGACGTTATAGGGTAATAAGGCACTCAGGAGCTGGGTTACTGTAATAAGATGTTACAGGGTAATAAGGCGCCCAGGAGCCGGGTTACTGTAATAAGATGTTACAGGGTAATAAGGCGCTCAGGAGCCGGCTACTGTAATAAGATGTTACAGGGTAATAAGACACTCAGGAGCCGGTTACGGTAATAAGATGTTAATGGGTAATAAGGCATTCAGGAGCCGGGTTACTGTAATAAGATGTTACAGGGTAATAAGGCACTCAGGAGCCGGGTTACAGTAATATGATGTTACAGGGTAATAAGGTATTCAGGAGCCGGTTACTGTAATAAGATGTTACAGGGTAATAAGGTATTCAGGAGCTGGGTTACTGTAATAAGACGTTACAGGGTAATAAGGCACTCAGGAGCCGGGTTACTGTAATAAGATGTTACAGGGTAATAAGGCACTCAGGAGCCGGGTTACTGTAATAAGATGTTACAGGGTAATAAGGCACTCAGGAGCCGGGTTACTGTAATAACATGTTACAGAGTAATAAGGCACTCAGGAGCCGGGTTACTGTAATAAGATGATATCGGGTAATAAGGCACTCAGGAGCCGGGTTACTGTAATAAGATGTTACAGGGTAATAAGGCACTCAGGAGCCGGGTTACTGTAATAAGATGTTTAGAGAGGTAGTAAGTAAATTATAAGAGAATTATGGGTTGGGAGTTCCCTTTTCTGAGCGTTAC